TGTGTGATTCTAAATTCCTCTGGAAGAATTAGATCTTTTAAATGTCTCCTCTCTATAAATAACCTCCATTTCCATCTTCTTTCTCTTCTCTTTATTACAGTTAAATTCCCACTTGTATCTCTTTGGCTTGGTGATTTTTAATTACTGTCAGGTGTAAACTCTGGATTAATTAATCCCACCAGATGGCCCCTTAAGATTCATAAGTATTATATTTAAGCAATTAACCCTGCTCATGAGACAATCCTGGTAATAATATTTAGTGCTCCATCCCTGGTGCTGAGCTTCAGTTACTCCCAATTTTAAGTCTGAATTGGGATTTAGGATTGAATGGCTCATAATCATTTCCATTTGCCTCTGAGCAAGACTTGGTTAGCACACTTTTTCTTACTTTATATTCACATGGTATAGTTTTGCCAATAATTCTACACTAATTGTTCTCAATTTTCCATATTTAAAAATTAGGTACAATTTAAGGGCTCATATAGACTTATTTTTTTTAATGGAGGCATATGATTAATATATGCTAAAAGTTTCCTTGGGTTATTATTTTATCAAATGCTTTGGTAAGCACAACCAATTTTTAAGAGGTAACCATTAAAACTTAGTCATAAATAAAAAAATTTCTGAGTCAGAAATTATGGAGTGATCAGACTTCTCTGTACCTGGGTCTTTCCACAGGGGAGAGTTGCCCTCTGGAGCATTGACCTATCTCTGTGCCAGTGGTTCACCAGGATGAACATATTAAAACCCAGTGGTATCAATCATGGGAGCCAGTTATGCATAATGCTTCCCAACTCTGAGTATAGCGATATCACATTCTGAGCTAGAAACTGGCCTTAGTGATAGCTTGAAACAGGCAAAAGCTACAAATCAGGTATGTTTGTTTTTAATACCCCAGGTAGCTGGTTGTATTCTTCTATCAATACACCACAGACCCTAAATGATAGGCATGTGAGATTTCTAAGACTCATTCCTTAGGAATATTTCATTTCTACTTTTAGGCTGTATTGACAATAATTTTTCTGGTTCCTGATGATGGTGAGTAAGGAACTCCAGAGAGTTATTTTAATAAAAATTTCCCAAACTTTTCTGGTGCTCATAGAGCATTCTCAAAGAGGTGGTGAACTAAATAGCATGGTTCTGTATATTCTAAAATCCCTTCATTATTAAAACACTCATGGTTATAACTTGGATGAAAAGAAAGTTATCACATACACAACAGATAGAATTAGTATAGACTGATGAATTGTGTTTACATTAGCACAAATAAGAGAAAGGAAATGGTCCATGTAAAAGTTTCCTCGTCTTCCTTGCTTTGACTCTTTGATAGTAGTGAGAAAAATCTATGCGGTTCTCTATGAGTGTAGAGAACCATCTCTGGCCACCAAATAGCAACAGTAGTTTACAGTTCTGAACCTACCTGCAAAAGTTCATAATGAATTGCATTTACGTGAACCCATGTTCAACATGTGGACACCACAGGCATACCAATAACTAGGTGCCCATTCCAATGAATATTCTTGAAATATTTGCCCAATACCTTTTAAGATGGAGAACGTATGGAGAAAAGGGGGCACTAAGGACAATTCCAACTTTCATGTACCATGCATTAAAACAGAAGTCTTATTATTTTTTTTACCAATTTAACATTAATTGGAAGCCAGTTGGTGACTTTTTTACCTGGGTGTGCTTCAAGAAGCTTCGCATTATTGATCCAAGTTTTATCAAAGTAGTCCTCCCCATCTGTTCAAGACACTCTTCCTGAGGTGAACTGCAATTCCACTTCTTCATTTTCATTTTCAGAGATATTTTATTGTTAAAGGGAACAGATATTAGAATGAGATTTTCTAGATTTTCATCTTAGCTCCATTATTTGCTAGCCTGGTGACTTTGGAAAGTTATCTAGACTTTATTGTGCCTCAGTTTCCCTATGAACAAAATGGGGATCATAAAAACAAGACAGGTTTTAGGCAAATCTAATTATATAGTTATAAAATGATTAAACACACTATAATGCTTATTAGCATATAGCAAGCATACAATTCAAAATATAATAGTTATAGATTGGTCCCTATGTCACCTGCCCAGCTAATCTGTTTCACCTGATGCTGATTTTCACCATGTTCTGGCGGCTCAGCTCTGCCATCTCCTCATAAGTGCAATGACCTCTGTGGTATCTCCAGGGAAACTTAACTATACTGCAAAAAAGTTTTCTTGAAAAAAGTAATTTTCTCCTATCATATCTCTTCTAAGGAGTTTTCTATTCAGTCAGGAATAGTTTTCAGCAATATTTGAGCCCTGGTTGGTGTGGCTTTGTTGGTTGGAACATTGTCCTCTACACTGGAAGTTCGAAGGGTTTGATCCCCAGTTGAGGCATGTATGGATGTTTCTCTTGCACATCAGTGTTTATCTCTCTCTCCCCCTCTCTCTAGGCATGTCCTAGGGTGAGGCTAAAACAAACAAAACCAACCAACCAACCAAACAAACAAACAAACACACACACCACCTTTGATATTCCCAGGCAATCTCCTTTTTTAGATCATCCATTTTCGNGATAAAACAAACAAAACCAACCAACCAACCAAACAAACAAACAAACACACCATCTTTGATATTCCCAGGCAATCTCCTTTTTTAGATCATCCATTTTCGCCAGAAATGTCTCTTCACTGTCTTTGTAACTTTTCTCACGACCTTGCTCACCCACTATTGCTCCCTCCTAACCATTTATCTAATCATTACTATCCCTAAAAGTATAACTCAAGTCTTATTTCCCTGAGACTATTTCTTAAAGAAAATATTTATTTATTTATTTATTTATTTATTTATTTATTTATTTATTTATTTAATTAGCTTCAAAGCTAATCATCTTTTTAGCACCTGCCATTAAGTCTCTTGCACTAGTACAGTCGCCTGCAAATTACTTCTTCCATTAGATTGTAAATTATTTGAGGGACAGACCTTATCTTAATATTTTGAGCTCACTTATTACTTAATGTAAGGTCCTGTACATATGTTTTTGATTATGAAGAATTATACCTAATGTAAAACATTATTTTATCATGAAAATTCCAATGTGCATTGAAGTTTAAAGGCACATGCAGAGCACCCTTATATTTAGCGTAGACTCTATAATTGCTGGACATACTCATTTTCTATAACTGATAAAGTTTCATAAGATTTCTTTTCTTGACAACTAATTTTTGAAAAGTTTTAAAATGAAGTATGAAATTTGGAGACATTATTATTCTTTATTAGAAAACGGTTAATTCTGTTTCATAAATCTTTTCACACTTTTCATTTAAGTTTCAGAACATATAAAAAATGTGTATTCTATTACTATAAATCTCAGTTTCTCTGGGCATTTCATTGTCCAGATTTGTGGATCTACAATCTATCTATTGTTTTTAATCCCAGGCAAAATTATAATTTTTATTTCTATAGCAGTGCTAGGTATTTATAAATGAAATACTGCTTTTTGTAAAGTATCTGCAATGTTTAAAACCAATCCTTAAATGAACAATATTCTAATAGTAAAGAAATGTTTTGTCTCACTGGAATCATAAATAACCCTAGTAGATTTAACAAGTACAAACTGGTGAATTATTAAAGTCTATATTAAAGTTAAGAAGTAAGATTAAATATTGGTTTTGCTTGAAGTTTTTTAACACTGAAGAGAACACATTGAGCTAAGGTAACTTTTGTATGTAAGGACTGCTATTCTTACAGACTAACGGATACATGTAATTGCCTTGATCAACTTAAGACTGGAGGTTTACCAAGAGGTTTAAGCTTCAAAATACAGGGGTAGCTCGGTTTTCGAACGTCTCTGTTAATGAACATTTGGGGCTAGGAACGTGGTAAACCGGAAGGAAGTGCTTCGGCTCCAGCCGCCTCGGAAGTGGAACCTGCCGGCGGCTTCCGCTGGGGCAGGATCCGGAGGCCGGCTGCGGGCTGCGGCTCCCCCCGTTTCCACCGCTTCAGACCCGAGCGGCCTTCCGAACGGAGCGCGCTCCAAAAGCCAGGTACCGCTGGACTGTTTACCTACTTATCTTTATGATATTTCGGGGTTACTCAGAGCTAGTTTCAACCTTTATCTCATGCATAATTAAATTATAATCTCCTTGAGGGAGATATTCTGTCTTATTCCCGATGCTTAGTGCGTTTCGTAGTACCTCGTCCTAATTAAAAAGATGGCTGTTGAATGAATACTGGGAAGAAAAGAGAGCGTTCTTGCCTGGAACGTGTCCTCATTTTAATGCAACAAATATTTATTGAATCCCCAAATTGAGGAGTACTAGGCTATATTGAGGATGGGCATAGTTGTGCAGTATATATGAGAAAATATTTTTTTCTTTCCTCTTGCAATACAACGTATAGTCTTTTTTGAGAAACACCTTTCAATTCTCTATGCTTAGAAAAGGGAACTTTCTACTTATGTTCTTTTTCAATAGTAGTTCAAAAATAAGCAAGTAAATTTAAATTCATTTTGTGACATTTTCCTAAATAACAGTGGACATTTGGGAGACTGTATTTAGTTACTAGGTAAATATTGTTCAAATTCCCCAATACAAACCAAGGGAAATGAAGTGTAATGTTCAAATCAAGTATATTTAGGGGTTTTTTGATATTCCAAGTACTTTACTGTTATTGCTGGAAAGGAGGGAAAATATCACTAAAATATTTTGAAATATAAACATTTAATTTCTGAGTAGGTTTTGTTTTATTTTTGTATATATAAAGGTAAGGCTTGTGAGTGAATACAGTTAGAGTAATAATTAAAAGTGTTTCAGACACTCAGACACTTACTCTCTTCCTACTAGTACCTGAGGAATGTGAAATACTTTGTTCACATGTTCCTGTCCATCTCTTGAGAGCTGATAAGGAGGGAACCAGGAAACTCCCTGGCATGCTTTATCTTGTTTTCATGCATTCCTTCACCAATTTCCCTTGTAGGTTAGTTTCTCACCTTCATAAGAACACAGTTCTCTAGAACCTACCTTTAAAGACTCATATTGTTGAGCTTTCTTAGATGGGACATGGAGTTCTGTTCTCTCCTGTATCTCTCAAGAACAGCGTGGTCTGGAAGATATATTACAATAACAAATATTACTTTAGCTATATTGGTGGTAAAGTCAAAAGTTACTCTAGTCCTATATCATTCATTAAATTGGGGTTGAGTCCAGTTTCTAACTCTGGTAATAGTACTGTGACTACAGATGTTCTGGCACGCCCATGCTTCCTAGAAACCAATACACAGAATATAATAGTTTAAAGAGGATCTCGTTTTTTAGTTGTCATCAGGATAGTTGACTTGTTATCAATGAAATTATAAATGTGACCAATGTATATATATGTATGAAAGCATTTATAAAACTAAATATTATTTAATGCAGTAACACAACTAAATATCAATAGGTATTAGAAACCAATATTAATTTAAGAGAACAAATTACTTAAAAATTCAGCATCACTTTGTATACATATTAAGTATAAGAAGTTTCTCTGGGTGTCGCAACTGGCATTAACGTATATAAAATACAATTCTGTTATAAATTTTAATCACATTTAAGAAGTTCACCTATAATAATAACAATGCTTTCTATCTTCTTTGAATTTAGAATTGTTTTCCAAGGTCTTTTAAAAGTTTTTCTCCAATCAATATGATATTATGTATTCTTATTTACTAAAAATTTTCTTTATTAAGGAAGATATTGAAAATTCTCCCTAACTTTAATGGAACTGTGCTTTACAAATAATACATATCTATTCGTATACCATTCTATGATTTGTTTTACGTGAGTATAAATGGAGATCTAAATTAGCAACTTTGCATGTTGGATGAGTGAAGATGGCAAGTGGCAAAAGCTGGGGCCTCTCTGCACAGGTTTAATTGCAGACTTCCTGAATGTGAGCTCAGCTGAAACTTCCAGTATTTTTGATATGTAAACCCAAAATAAGCTTTTTCTGAGACAACTGAACTGAAAGGTTTAAGGATCAGTAAAATTGTATAGTTTTTCTACATATAACCAAGGCTTCCATCATGTTAGAGGTTGTACTCTTCTATAAGTAATATGTTGATATTTTGAATAGTGGAATATAATGAAATACCTCCTGATAGTCAATACTTTTTATTTTTAATTTTTTAAAATATATATTGATTTCTGAGAGAGGGAAGGAGAGGGAGAGAGAAAGGTAGAAACATCAGTGATTAGAGTCATTGATCAGGGATCAAGACAGCATCCCGGACATGTGCCCTGACTGGGAATCAAACCATGATCTACTGGATCCTAGGTCGATGCTCAGCCACTAAGCCACGCCCAGCCAGGCAATAGTCAATACTTTTTAGCAACATCAGTGAAAGTCAAAACTTAAAGAACTTTAAATTTCCCTATTTTTATCCTATACTTACATTTTTATACTTATCAATAGTACAATTTGCTATTTATTTGTATCAAAGAATCCATAGTTACTTTCAGTGGGCACTTAAAAATACTAAATAATCAATTTGTGTTGTTTGTATGATTTCATAGTTTGTAAAAGTCACTGCTTTGTAAGCATATATTTTAGATATCATTTGTGGCATTTGCTTTTCATCGTCACCTTCTCAGATGAAACATTGGCAAAAGAGAAAATTCATTTTAAAATAAATCAAATGATCCATTTAGATATTTTTTCCATTTTTCTTCTTAAGAAAGAATGCAAGACGTGTGTAAAGAAAGTATTTCTTTTAAAAATTTATACAAGTCCTGCAAGCCAAAACTTAGGGCAAATGCAAGTTAGACCTCTACTTTCTAACATGAAGGCCTGGCTATTGAGCACTTGAAATTCTCAAATTTGAGTGGAGGTGTACGATAAGTGTAAGATAAACACAGGATTTCAAAACTTGGTCTGCAAAAAAGAATGTACAATATCTCATTAATAAGTTTTATTTCACTTACATGTTGAAATGAAAATTTTTAAATTTATGTATTTTTTTAAATGTTTTTATTGATTTTAAAGAAAGAGGAAGGTGGAGGGAGAGAGAGAGAGATATCATGTTAGAAAGAAACATTGATCGGCTGCTTTCTGCACACCCCCTACTGGGGATGGAGCTCACACCCCAGGCATGTGCCTCCATACCAGGAATTGAACCAGCAACCTTTTGGTGCATGGAATGACACAAGACCAACTGAGCCACACTGTCCAGGGCTGGATTAAATAATTTTATTCTTAAAATTAATTTCACCTGTTTTTAGTGTGTATATTAGAAAGTCTAAAATTACATATATGTCTTGTGTTATATATCTATTGTACAATGCTGTTAGTCCGGCACCTATCTGTGCCTTACTTGTGCTTTACTCACTGGTGTATTGGTAGTGTCATTTGATTCACCAATCAATCAGTTTTCAAGACCTTTCCACTTTCATGTTGACTGTGAGGGGAAGGCCAGGTGATAAATTCTTCATTTGTAGTACTGAGGAAGCATTTAGATGATCACAGGAGGAATGTTGAGCTGAGAGCAGTTTTAGGTAGACAGGCATCTGATCTGTTTCATTCTAGGTATATACATCACTATTTTTCTCCTATCACCCAGTTGTAGATTTACTCTCAGAAACAGCCATTGCTTTCCTATTTTTATAGAAAGAGCCATGTTGTCTAAATTATGCTAATTTTTTTGTTTTTATTCTGACTCATTTTTTTCACCTGTATTGAGATATATTTGACATATGACACTGTGTAAATTTAAGGTGTAAATTTGAACACAGAGGTAGACAGACAGACAGGGAAGAAGAACATGTAAGATAGAGGCAGAGTTTGAATTGATACAGGTATAAGCCAAGGAATGCCAAAGATTGAAGGGCAGAAACTAAGAAAGAGGCAAAAAAGGATCATCCCCCAGAGCCTTTAGAACATGACCCTGCAGACATCTTGATTTCAGACTTGCAGATTCCAGAATTGTGACAAAATACATTTCTGCTATTTTAAGCCACTCAATTTTATTTCAAGCCACTGTGCTTTGTTATGGCAGCCTTAGGAAACCAACACACTATCCTAGAACAATAGGTTTAAAAAGTAGGCACCTTGCACCTGAGGAAAGCAGAGGAACAAAGCTAGGACTTCCTGAGGACTGATGTCCTAGAATATCTCTGAAAGAGATAAAGGGAGACTGTTTGAGGTCTGTGGCAGGTGAAATTGAATTAAGGAAAAGTAATTTCTGGCACTATATGTAGCAATCAGTTTTATCTCCAAAACTGGGGAGTGAGACGGTAGAATGTGGAATCTGGGGGCAGAAATAAACAACAGGGATTTGATAGGTTTTGAGTTATGTGGAATATTTTATTAAGGCTGTACCTGCTAGAGATCCAAAAATTTGATTATGAAAGGGTTGCATCCATTCCAGATAAAATTTGAATAAGAAGTTGGGATCAGAATTTGGTATATTATGAGTATAATTTAGAATCTATAGGCTATAACATCACTTTTATGTTGTGAGGTTTTAGTTTCTTTGTGCTTCCTATTCAATTGTGATTTAAAAAAAAAAAAAAAATTCAACCTTGCCTCAGATGAACTAGCAGGACTTATTTTACTCGTCTTAGAAAGAAACTTCCAAATTACATTTCACCCACTGTTCAGATAAGTGAGTGATGGTAGCTCTTTCAATTCAAGAGAAAGGGCAGTGGTGTTGCCATAGACACCAAGGACATACAAGAGGGTCAGACTTGATGTCAATCAGAGTGTTTATCAATTTAGGCCTGAGATTTTCCCTCATACTTTCAAAAAGCAAGCTGACAAATGCATTTGATAGCTGGTGGTTTCCCCCGGCTGATTGATAGCAAATGAATCACAAGTGCACCTGGCGTTGGCAAGTGTCTCCTTGCTCCCTGGTATAGTCCAAGCAAGGATGTAAGAGGGATGATGGCACAGGTAGTCACTGTGACATATTTTATTAGCCTCTTGCTGACAACTCACTCTAATTATTTATAATCATTAGAGTTTTGCCATTTTTCTGTCTGGCTCTGAAATGTCCTGATTATTTTAGCCTTGATTGAATATCCTTTAATCTCACTCAGATCCTAAGAACCACATCAAGAAACTTATTCCAGCTAGACCTCCTTGGAAGTCTTTCACTAAAAATGGACTTATACGTCCAGTGAAAAAATGTGTGGCTGCCTTAACCATCTTTACCAGTCCCAGGGCACATGCAGAAGGAGCCATAAGAATGAGCTCTGCATTTCTTCCCCTTCTTGTTTGTCATCTGTTTTAATCAATGAAACTTTTAATCACCTGCTGTCATGGAGAGAATAGAATCTAGTTAGCCCCAATATTTAATAAATTGAACCATATAGACCTAGATGGAGGAACTACAGCATATAAAGGAGAATATATTAGGCTTTGAATATCCTGATGAAAAACTGTCTCTCACTGAAACAAGTCTAAAGTTATATAAGTAACTATCTTGGGTTTGGACAGATTTTATATAAAAACTGGCTAGATTTAACCATAAAATCAATAGATCAATAGATACTACGGTTATCAGAGATCCTAGCATTCGTCTAATCTAATCTCATTTATAGCTTAGGAAACTCAAAGTTGTGAGTATATTGTTTTGAATATTCCATTATCTTCTAATCCTAACTAGAGAAAGAACTTCTAGGAAAATCAACAATGAACTCTCAGATACCAAAAGTTTCACTGAGAAAAATCAAATTACCTAAGGGTTAAAAAATATGTGTGTTTTGAGAAGGAGCTGTTGGTGTATGGACTGGGCCAAAGAATCCCAAACAGGTGTATTTAAGTATTTGTTCTTGTTACTTTAAAGCTTTTCTTGCTTCATTTAAATTTTGATAGCCAACTCTTCTATATTGGTGGCCTAATTTAATAATGCAAATATTTTATTGATATTGATTTATTTTATGAAATTCAAATCTCCAGATTTCCTGCAGCAGGATGTGGCATTCTGTATGTCTATGTCCTTGTCCTGTTTCTACTTTACAGTTTGATACTTACACTGTGAAATCCTCATTGTTGTACTTTGACCAGATGGCGCTTTTCTGACTGCTCCCTTTGACCTTTCTAACTTTATCTTCTAGCCCGATGTC